GTCTTGACTTAGTCCCTCCCTACCTTCAGAGAGGCAGCTCACTCAGTTCTGATCATTAGCACCACCTTTAGCTCTGACTCCTGGTTAACTTAGTCTTTGGTGTTATTAGAGATGAGCTTCTCCTAGAAGGAATACTCAAGAGGAATACACTTTCAGTTTCTAGTTCCAGATGGGTTGAAGGGAGGACAATGTCATTAAGAAAAACAGGAAGCTGAGATGGCATATTTGTATAGTTCAGCTATTGAGCCAAGTGTAGTATAGAAAAGAATGGTTCATTGAAAGTTACAAGAACAGATATACCAACACACCCTAAGTGAGGATGAAGAGGTGTGAGAAATGCCGTCACTTGCCCAGTGATTTTATTCTTCTGGGTTGGAGTGATTAACCCTTGCTGGGCGTTGGCTTTGTGTTCACGGATTATCTTTTCTCTCTCCCTCCTTCCATTCTCTCCCTCCCTCCCTCTTCCCATCCCGCATCCAGCAGTTAGCAGTAAGGAAGCATGGATCTGTTTCTTCCAGTCTCCACTTTGGACAATCAAATAAATAAGAGCAAATTTCAATCTCCTTGTCTTGGTCACAGGCACCTCTGCACTTGTATATAACTTGGGATGAAAATGCTGGTTATCCATATTGTTACTTCTGCCTCTCTGATCTCTATCGAGTTGACCTGCTTATTATAGCCCTTTTACCCAGGCAATGAAGGTTCTTCCCCCGCTCAGCCTCCCCTCCACCCCACCACTGAGTGGCTTAAAAGATCTGTAACTGGGCTGAAGCAGCTGTTGGCTTCATGCCCTCCTCTAACTTGATTATTCTTTGGACACGTTAGGCAAGCATTAGTGATTGATAATGACGCTAATTAACCCCTTTCCTTTCCAAAGAGTAAGCGGCTGCCAGCAGGATGCTGCAAACAATAAATATAAAACACTACATACATCAATATCTGCTTAAAGCACAACTTCATTTGGGCACATGCAACTGTACTGCCTTGCTTAACAGTTCCTATTTATTCACACACTTCTCAAAAAGCCCTAGGGTGGGAGGCAGGGGAAGAGCTAGAGTTAAGAAGATAGCCTGTGGCTTTAAGACCACAAAAGGCTGCATACCTGTTCAGCAAAGTAAAATGCTAATATAAACCATGCAAATCACTTTTTTTAAGTTTCAAGTCTATGCTTTAAAAAATGAAGTAATCCAGCTTTGTTTTTAACCTATTTAATCTTAGAACAAGGCTAATGACCACATGACTTTTTTTTCTTTCTTTCTTTCTGAGAAACTCTCCTGCCTTATATAGAATTATTGTGGACACCCTTTGGGTTGAAGGCATTTTTTTTTTAAAGTAGATAAAATTTGGATTTTAAGCAGGATTTGGAGGAATCCAGGTAAATTGGATTTGATTGTGCAGTCTAACATAACCTGAGTTGTAAAGAAACATACATTAAATTTGGAATTTTGATAAATGAATATTCCTAGCAAGTGAATAAAATGTATTCAATTAACTAAAACCCTGTGCACTTCTGAACTGAAGTGGAATCGACTGTAATTGATTTATTTGAAACCAGAGGTTAAGGACTGAATTAGCTAAGTACAACTGGGTATTTCAGCCACTGACTTCTCAAATGTCAAATCCCTTCTATTTTAAATATTATTTCAGCTGCGGGGCATTGCGGTCCTGATGGTAGTTCCATCAAGAACACAAATTGTATTAATATTCGATTTTGGGGAGGAGTGGTTTGAATTGTGATTTTTAAAGGGTGTTGAAGTATTGAGGGGGTAACCCTGACTAGCCACCTAGAAAGAGCATTGTGTTTCCATGAAAATTGGGTGTGGTAATTAGCATAGCCTGGCGAGCATCTTTATAATTCAACTATGTATCCTGATCTGGTTTCATTCAAAGAGTATCTTTGTTGTTAGCATATAAAGACTGGACCTATCAAACAATCCTCACATGTTTGGGAGGATTCAGTTACAACAGAAAAAGCTAAACTTCACATAGCCCTTGGCTACTCAATTAAAACAAAAATATTTTTTTGATATTCCCCTTCTGTATCCCACGACACACTTAAATGTATGTAACTTCTTTTAATTTTATTGTTTAAAAACAGTGGTGATATCGTATCAGCCCAACTACAGAATAAAAATTACTGATTCACTGCATATGAAAACCATTGTTTATTTTTACCTTGTCCTGTTCCAGACACCATTTCCTTTCCATCTTTCTTGGGATGCAAAGATTATATTGGGTTCCAACATAACAAGCATCTGTAAATCCAGATATGAATGAATGGTATTTAATAAGATTGTTTTCGTTTTAAAATGAGTATTTATGTGTCATTGGAGAAAGAGCAGCAATGTATGGCTGTTTATGAATGCTATTGTGCCTGAGGTTAGGATCCCCCACACAATCTGAGATGCAGCCAAGAAAAACAGTCCTGATAGACAATGCTTCACTTCACCTGCTACGACGCCGTGTGCATTTCATTTCTGTCAACAGTATGTACAGTTAGGGTTCCTTCGCCTCATTATTTTGTTACATCTACATTACAGTTAACCAGTCTCTCTAGGAAATAATAAATAACCGCTTTAAAAAACAATTGCCGCGTTGCGTTCTGAGAATACACTTTCCATTTGAATTTTTTTTTTTTAACCCACCATTGTTATGAATTCTCTGGCTCTGGAAAATAGAATTTAGACTCCACCAACTCTCATTGGTTTGTGAAGATTGATTTTACACTGCCTTCCGTAAGGAGATTAGAAAGAAAAGGTTGCAAAATGGACACTCGGGAAAGACCTTTGCCTTCCTAGTCTTTGGCATGCCAAAGCACAGGATCACAAGTCATTTCTTCTCAGCATGATCATCTACTCAGCTTCTCTCTTAAGCCTTCCACTTAGCCAACGTCCGTATATGTTTAAAAAAAAAAATACTAAAAAAAAAAAAAGCACAAGCTAAATAAAATTAAAAAGCCACCTCGCTTCTAAGGCAAAGAATTACAAACTCCATTTACAAAAGCTCTGAGTTCGCCATCTTCCTGTGCAAGAAAGTCCTTCCTTCCCCCAGAGCAGGCACGCAATCCTGTTGTTGTGGAAGACAGGTAGGAAGGCTTTGCAGGGGTGGACCTCCCCCACTCCCTCCACCCCACTTCTGAGGCGTTTTGTGTTTCTAAAAGGTCCAAGGAGGAACCAGGGTGTGCCTGCATTTGGTGGGGGAGGTCAGAGATTCCAAGGTCCCACCTACACTGTCAGTCCCCTATACCGGCTCCAGTACTGAATTCATCTCCAAATGAAATATTAAAGCACATGGGGACAATTGACCTCTCTTTCTGCGTTTCACGTATATTTCTTCCGCCGTTTCTCCTCGCAGAAAAAAAAAAAAAAAAACAGGGTTAGCTTAAGCCATAAAAGCCTACGCAAACAAGTCAAGACCAAAATGGCCATCTCCTTTGTACTCATGAACTAATCATTTCAATTTCCGTTTTCTTCTGACACAGATTGGAATGCAGTCACTGGAGGAGAGTGTCTTCTGTTCTTCCAGTTGCCACCAGGCTTTGTCATTCCTAGAGTTTAGTTCTGAGGGTTTAAATGTTTTGGCTCCCAAAATGCAAATGAAAACCTAAAGGATCAACATAAATAAAATAAAACTTTATTTTTAATAATAAAGTTAATGCTTCCAGTCAGGAAGCAATAGTATGTCATTCCTTTAGCAGTACAAACAATCTTTTATCCAAAAGAATACATTGGGTTTTATTGTGTCATTTGTCTGAATACAGACTCAGTGGAATATCTAAATGATACCCTGCTCTGAACTCCAAGTTGAAAGTAAGTTTTTATTATACTTGAGGGGAACAATGGGTTCAGCTGCTTATTGCAAAGAGCAATTGCCAAGGGAGAGTTAAACTCAATTACTGTAACCATACTGAATAAAAAATACTGCCAAGAACAAAAATACGCCTGGGTAAAGACAGCCACTGAATAAAAAAAGAAAAAAAAATCGACATAAAGCGTATCAAATATTTATTTATCTGGGCAACAAAGGACTATGATACATTGACAGGCATTGAAACTACTGCCAGCGCAACTCAACACAGTACATCTACAACTGCTTCCAATGTGGCCAGTGAAGACACACAATACCAGGGGGTCCCAAATGCTCCAAGTTGAACAAAAAGAGAGCGAGCGGGGAGAAAGAGAAAGAAAGAGCGAAGAGGGAGGGGGAGAGGAAAGGGGGAGAGCACAGAGAAATCCCTAACCCTTGGTTTAAAGACAATATTCATTTATTGCTCAGAGGACGCTTTTAAGGGAGGACAGTGAACTCAAATAAACTTTATTTTTCTCCCCATAATACCATAGGAGAGTTATCAAACTGTTCCATTAAGAAAAACAAAACTTTCCAGTGTTTCAATATCACTCTGTTTTTCCTTTCAGTTCAATGAAAAGCTAAATGTAATACTAATTATATATAAAATTTATTTTACTTTTAAAAAGTTTTGTTCAGCTGTTTCATTATCATCATTAACATGCTACCAAGGGGCTAAATTCGTGAATTCCAGAAGGGGAGGGGAATCACCCAAACCCTGGATTTCTAAGTAAGTAAAACCACATGAAGAACTAATAGGGAGGATCCAAAAGCCACTAAACAGGAGGTAAACGAGATCACCAGATAAATAAAAAAAAAAAAAAGGTTTAAAACAGACTCACCATATTTACAAATCCCATTAAATTACACATAAATAAATATATACAGAGACGTGAACACTGATTCCCTTATAGAAGTGTGGATTGTGTCATCAGAGGAAGTTCAAGTGGGCACCTTGCAGAGACAACTTCTACAACTGAAGACAGGACATAGAACTTCTGTATTTGTGTTCAAGTTTATTCACAATACTGATAAAAATGTCATTATCCTCTTTGCCTTTTTTTTAAAGTATGGCTACAATCTGAAGTATGCAAGGGAAGGCGATGAGTTAGTCCCATGAAGCTCGTATACTTTTTAAATTTTTTTAACGTTCTTTTTTTTTTTTTTTTTTAGAAAAAAAAGTTTTAATGTTTGTTGTTGATTTGATTTAAAAAAAAAGGTTCACAAACGCGACAGAACTTTTCTTTGCTGGCTTCACGACCTGTTCTGTTCTTTTAGGCTCCACATAAGGGTAAGGGGGTGTTGGTGCTGAAGGGGAAGTTGAGGCAGGGCGCTGAGTAGGCAGCGGCTGCCTCACTGGCAGTCGAGAGAGCAGTCCCGAGGACTCCGGGGACGAGGGGCAGCGCGGCAGCGCAGCGTAGCAGCAGCAGTAGGAGTGGCTGGTCCCGGAGCTCACCTGCCGGGCGGGGGAGGGGCCAGTAGGGGGTGCGCAGGCCGGTGAGGCGGGCGGGCAGGCGCGGGGCGAGAGGAGAGCCTCACTTTCTGTGTTTCTCTTCTTTGTCACTGCTTTTGGCGCTGTTGTCCGTGTGGCTGTTGGGGTTGTTGCTGAGGTACATTTTGTCCATGGCCTTGAGGGCCTCGGTGAGATAGTTCTGCAGGGCGGTGACCGCTGCACACACCGCCGGGCTGCCGAAGCCATGGGAGATGAGGTTGAAGTGGGTCAAGCAACTCTGGATGCCAGGCTCCAGGATAGGGTTGGGCCGCGAGTTCCCCAGGGGAGATCGGTCCTGAGCCAGCAGGTCAGTGAACTCTTTGCAGATCTGTCTGCAATGGAACAGAGAGCAAGGTGAAGCTCCCACCAGGCCAGGCCTTACAGGCAGCAGAAAAAAGAGGTAAAAAGGCAACTCTCCCTGCGGTCACCACTGCCGCCTCACCCCCCACCCTCCTCAGGACCCAAGACCAGCCACTCAGGATGATGAAGCCTGTGATCCTCCCTTGGAATGAATACCCTTCCTACCTCAAAAAGACCTCCCCTTCTCTCCACAGCCCCCACCCCTCAGACACAACAAACTTCTGCCTACACCTTTCTGATTCATAGCAAACACCAGGAACATAGGAAAGCATTTTACAGGATGCACTGGAAGTTAGAACCACAAATGTCCCTCTTCAGGACTATAGAACCATCAGTTTTGCTTTTCAAAATGTTGTCAGAGTCACCACCCCCCAACCCCCCAATACCCCCCCAAAGGAGCCACAGTAACAGTTGGTGGAATGGAGTTTCCAAGGAAAGGCAAACTTAGCTTTTTAAAAACAACAGCAGGGCTCACTGGATAAAAGGCTTGACCACAACAGATAAGGACCTGAGTTCAGATCCCCAGAACTCATTTAAACCCCAGCTTGAAGACTTCTGTCTCCAACCCCAGTGCTGGGTGACAGGCAGGGGTGTCCCAATGTTTTGCTGGGCAGCCAATATAGTCCAAACGGGGTCAGTAACAAACTCTTTCAAAGAAAACTATGGAGAGCACAGAGCACTCAGGAAGTCTGTCTGGCCCTGGGAGCCAGCTCTAGCAGGAGCCTTCCTGAGATGGCTACGGGGTTTGTGTGTGTGTGTGTGTGTGTGTGTGTGTAAGGGTGACAAAATGGTGCCACCAGGTCAGAAACTGTCCCACCCAAGGCCTCAGCCTCTCAATTCTCTGCAGCAGCGGTGCCCTCCAGTGCCACCAGCTTGTGATAATTAAGGACTTCTAAACAAGCCTTTTAAATGTCCAGAAAATGTATCAAACAGTCATTTTCTTTTCAATCTGGAGAAGTCTATACGGCCCAGGCACCTATGGGAGTCTAAACTTGGGCCATCTTGAAACCCATTTGACAGCTTGCCGGTAGGCTAAAACTTAGAGTACGACTATGATTCTGTTTGTGTGTCTGTCTCTTTCTGTGTGTGTGTGTTAGTGTGTGTGCAAGAGAGAGAGAGAGAGACGAGAGACGTTTGAGGCTAGAAGAGAAAGAAAGAGATGGAATCCAGGATTAGAGGTAAAAGTAGGGCAGTTTCTGGATGGCACATTTTGCAGGTCCCAGCTTAATCTTTGCCCTTGGAGAACATACTGATGAGAGAAAATGTGGACCTAGGCAAGCCTGGTTGGTACCTTTGAGGACTTGGACCCTGGTTTTTAGGAAACAACATTGTCACAACTCCACACACTTTCAGTGAAATCCCCGCTGCACCCAACACACATCCCCATTAATTTAAAAGTTAGCAAATAAGAAAGAGACTGAAGTGAGGGAGAACACAGGAAGCAAACTGACAGCCTCATGCTGTTTCCTCTTTGATACAGTCTGTGCTAATTTATATCTGTGCCCTGACTTCAGTATTCACAGCAAAGCTGATCAATAAAAATGGAAGAGAAAAGAGCACAAGATAATTTTTTTTTTTTTTTTTTTTTTTTTTTTTTTTTTGACAGTGAACAGCCTAGACCCTGCAGAGGTAAATGCCTTACTTTGTAGCCAGGAGCATGTTTTTTCTTGTCACTTGCTCATTGGGATCGGAATGTTGTCGGTTGAGAAATTCCGCTACTGCTTTGGCAGGAAATTCAGTTTCGCACACGTACCCAAAGTCCCTGGCTAGGTGGACGGCTTCTCCTGGCAAGAAGTAGGAGGAGGGAAGTGAGGGCCAGAGAATGAAGAAGCTGGGATCAAAGTTTCCTCTCCACACCCAGCTCCCTTCATTTTCTTCACTAAAAGTTGGAAGGAACAGAAACCCCTTGTTTTCTTACTTTAGACATTCCTTCTCTATGAGACCCGGAGACCTTACTCATCAGTAAAAGTGCCAAGTTGGCTTACAAGGCCAAAATGGTTTGAAAATGTTAATCCCACCCATCGCCCCCTACCCATCCCTGAGGGATGTTTCCCCAACTTCTGTTTGAAAATGGCTCTGCCGTTCCAACCTCACACCTATCAACACATTCATCAATGATGTTTCATAATTACTCCTTGAGCTTTCCAGCAAGGGAACAACTGAGATTTTACATTTTAACTTGATCACATATAATTATCTGTTCATCCAAGCCGATTAACCAAGAGGATTTGAGGGTCACTCCACTGAGTCTGTCTGTGTTGTTGATTTTCGAATCTTTGGTTTTAATTTCCTGAACCAGTTGGTTTTTACTGCAGGGCTTCCTGCCATTAGCTCCAGCTCCGGAAGAACGCATGCGCCAATTAGAGCATCAAAGGCCTCTCGGCAGAGCTTGTTTCCATAAAATGGAGCGGATCACAAACAATAACAGTTCTCCAGAAACTGCCTCCCCACTGCAGTCTCAACCCCCCAGACCCAGACCAACTCTCATGCTCCATCCTGAGCTGCTACCACCATTTTTATATGAATTGTGGTTTTCTACATACTATCATTATTTTGATATAATGTGGCTATATTTGAATTTTTGGCCTTGAACAATGGCTTTTTTTTTAGTTACATTATCATCATCTTCAACACCATTTAACACATGGAAATCATAGATTTCCTCCTCAAAAACATTTGTTTCAGATGTTTTCTAGAAACTTCCAAAAAAAAAAAAAAACTTGGATCCAATGACAATATCTCCCTCACACTATGCAAATAAGATAAAATTGCCTCATTGAAATATGAATACTAGTTTTAAATCTTCCTGGGAATAAATCACTATTTTCCTATTAACATGAGATATAACAAGCCACAAAGAAAGCACAAGAGAACTATACATTCACCCCAACCCTTAATCCCAACTTTAAACCAACTATCAGAAAGTTGGGAATCTAGGAGGCAGCGGTGTGAACAGATTCTGGTGACAGTTTTTGTATAAATGGATATGGATGAGCTTTTTGTCTTGAGGAATTTGCAAGGGTGTGTGTGCTTAAAAACTTGTCGTAAGAAACTCTCTTACACTGTGTCTGCTTCTTTTCCTCTTTCTGTAATGGACAATCCAAATTCTAAAATTGCTCACTTTCTTTCCCTCCCGGAGAGAATGAAAACAATGAAGCAAGAGATGAGGAAGTATACGTTTGGAAAACAACAACTACAAGGGCTTTTAACCCTGAGCTTTCAGGACAGTCTTAAATCAGGATGCAGGTCAAAGATTCCCAAATTAATTCAGGAAGTAATGGTCACGCATTTCTCAAACGCAGATGTCAGAATAACTTAAGTGATTTACTGCTGAGTTCTTTAGAGGAGACAGGAACTTGGGGAAATGTGTGGCTCTTAAATTTGTGCATTGTTTAGGTCAGATTTATGCTGAGGACAAGGTAATTTAATGGTAGAGAGGAAGAAGAACTTACAGGCATGAGTGTATACAAATGGCCTCTGGAGTTTTGTTTTGCTTTGTTACTTGGTTTTCCTTAGCATCCCAGAATTCTGTTCGCTTCCAGTCATAGCTATATTCCATGGGAAGGTGAAACCACCAAAGTACACAAAACACATCCAAACATCTGGCCACTAAATAGTATCCATTTTCCCAGACAGCTGTCCCCTACTACTTAGCAAGTGGATTCGCTTACCTTCCACTAATGATGTAAGCAGGGTGACGTTGGCAGCTTTGCGTCTCCCTGCTGGCAGATTTAATCCTATTTTGTCCAGTTTTTCTCTTAAAGATCTTCCGCCATTCTTAGACTTCGCTCTATTTCATAAAGATTTAGAAAATATTGACTTGCTCTGTGTCACATTAAGGTCATTTTGAACACTTTTTGGAATGTGTTCTTAAAAACGGAGACACCTAGGGAACTGTACAGAAAGGTCATGGGAGATAGAGGCTTGTTTGGCTGTAAAGCACCCAGGGTTCAGTTATTGTTGCCACTACTGAGGCAGGTTGGGGGCTTTTCAGTTTCCAGTTCTCTGAATAAGAGCTACAAACACACACATGGTTTGAACTCTGGAGTTGGAGGTATTCTTGAGGTCAGCTGATTACTGTGTATTTTCCCTGTTGCTACAATAACACAAACCCCAGTGGGGCCTTTAAATTGTCTTCACACGATCTGCTGTTAGAGCGTTCCCAGTAACCAAAGTTATCATCACGCTCACATTTCATGCTCTGGCTTTGGTCCCAATGGGAAACGCATCTCGACAACTGTTTACATGCCATGCCAGGAGCACAACTGGAAATGTCAAAGGGATGATGGCTGATGCCAGTCTTCAAAATTTTCCCTGATTTCAGAGACAATGGAGGGGCTTCTAAATAGATGTCTAAATAGACTCCCATAATCAGAAAGTGGTTAAGATAAATTGTTTAAATAAAACAGCAAATTAATTAATTTCAGATTTTATTCCCTACTCAAGTGGCTCTTTAATTGCGTGGATTAGATTATACTCCCTTAGGTAAGCAGTCTCTGATACTGGTGATGGGGGAAGGGGAGAAAAAAGGCAGAGGGCAGAGGAAGATCTCTGGCAATAAAAAGAAACAAGGGAAAACCAAGTGGCTGAATGATGATGAGAGTCGCTGGTATTAATTCTGCAAACCCTCTTAGAGGATGTAAGTGAGCTGTACCCACCAAGGCCTATCTCCAGGTCATTAAGATTCAGGGATAAAGTTAAAGTTAGACAATGAATTACTGGCCTTATATGGAGAGGAGAGTAAGAGACATATTATTTGACCAAATGTAACACTGGGCCTACAACTCACACCATTGGGTAGAATCCTAAGATGGAGGACACATAGCTGGCTCTGTGAAATGTCACTCCACCTCAGAGAGGCGAGAATCCTGTGTTAAGGGATGTGGTCCCTGAGAGCGACTACATATAAAGAATGAAAACTGGAAACGTGCCCTGTCACAAATCACAGTAAATCACAATCGTCAAAAGCTACCGCCTCTGACACCAAGGCTGGGGGTGGAGGGCGGGGCCTTCTGGAGGGAGGTGCCAGCAACTAGGGTTGGGGAGGCTTGCAGCAAGCAAAAGTCATTCTCTTGCTTTACTCGAAAACCAGTCTCCGCTCAAGGGCAACAAGTTCCCATCAAAGACCCAACGGTATAGTAAAGCAAAGCAAGGAGCCCACAAGTTTCCCTGCGCTTGTAACCTGTGTGCAACCAGGGAAAAGGCAGCTGCACGGCGCCCCATGGCTGCCAAGGCCGGGACTGAGCCCGCAGCAGTGAGAGCTGCGCGTGCGTGCTGAAGAAAGCCGAGGCCCCGCAGTGCGCAGGCGCACCGACACACACAGACACACAGACACACAGACACACACAGAGCAGGCTCCACTCTCACTCTTTACACACGCACACACGCACGCACGCACACGCACGCACCCCGCCTCCGGCCCCGCCTACCAGGCTCCACTCTTTTCCCCTCCCCGCCCATTCCCCTACCAGCCAGCCTGCGGGACCGCTACTGCCCCGGCGCAGGCGCACCGCGGCCGCGTCAGTGGGGCGGGGCGGGGCGGGGATGGGCGGGGCGGGAGGGCGGGGCCGAGCCTCACCTCCGCAGCACTCCGCCCAACAGCGACGCGTTGAGACACTCGGGCGGTGAGAGGCGCCGCTGTACTTCCGCCACCGTGACCTTGTACTTCGAGGTGGAGCTGAGGAGCGATAGGCGACCCGGAACTGAACAGAAGACTTCGTTGGGGTTCACCACGCCACCGAAGAGGTTGTCCTTGTTGATAGGGATGGCGGAGACGGCGTTGCTGTTGGACTTGGACAGGGACACAGGGCCTGCGGAGACAGAGGCAGGCGCGTGTTGGGGGGCGGGCGGCCCGACCGAGCGCTGCTCAGCTCTGGACCCCGCAGCGGCTTCCTGCCATCACCCTTGCTGTCTAGAGGTGGCTGATGCTGTCGCTACCCCCTGGGCTCGCGGAGGCCTCCGGCGAAGTGCAGGAGATCGTGTTTGGGGAGACAGCGGGTACGGGTTTCATGTGTAAACCCAGGGCAGGGTTGGCGTAGCCGGGGTTTTGCGGGACGAAAAGACTCAGTGCGGAAAGAAATTACTGTTAAAACCGGGCAGTAGTCAGGATGGCTGCAGCAGCCAGTAAATGAACATTTCATTGAGCTATCAAGTGATGCGTTCTGTTGTCACACACTATACTAGCCTCCTGTCTTCGACAGACCCTTATGTTTCATTTTGAAAGACACTTGGGTTTTGGAGAGCATTCCAAGCCCATTTTTGAATAGGACTCAAGAATGGGCCTAAAGCTGAACACTAGGAATGTATCCTTTTGTTGAGCAAATACTAAATGAACCCTGTCTGCCTAAGCCCCTTCAAAGGGGTGGGGGGTAGGATATACAATCAGTTAAAACCATAAGCTCTTCATTGTTGGATCAACCATGCTAGAAAACAAATGCAAGACCAGCCAAATGAAGTTGCATCAGCAACTATTTAAGTACAATGCATTTATATCTTAAAATCCCACATAGAGACATATAATATGCAAAGTCTTCATCATGTTTTTTGTTTTTCAAATGGGGATATTCTAGTCATATGGAGAGGTGAGGGGCTCTAGGTTTTGGATAGATCACTTGTGACATTAATAGCTCTGGGGAGGCTAATAGAGACAATAGGAGTTAAACGAACTCTTGAGAGATTACTAATAAAAGAGCCAATTATCATGTCGACTTGGAAAGAGCACCTCTTAAGATTTATCCCTTGCACATCTAATTTGACATGACAAAGACTTCACAGATGCAAAAAATGAAACTTTTAAACTAGCTTACACTATACTGGTTGGGGTTAGAAACGAGAACAGTTTTATGTAGCATCATCCTCTGGTGGCATCTAGAACCCGGAGATTATTGCCACCATAACAATAACAACAGCAACAACAACAACAAAATACTGCTACTGCGTTTAACACAAGAAACTTTATTTCTACCCACTAAGCACAATGTGGATGATAAATTCATTCAAATCCTGTAACACCTTTTTAACAATTTCTCTTCTAAATACATAGATCAATAGTGGCATCTTCAAGATGCTAATTTGAACCAAAAGCTAATTTTTTGTTAACCTAATTCACCAAGTTTTAAAGCCCTGAAGCTCAATCAAGAAACTAGAAACTAAATCAGAGAACATGAAAGTTTTCTTTCCCAAAGAGTGCTTTTTTAAAATATCTGTCTTTTCATTGATATTAATTTATTGTATTATTTTAGCTTGATTCATGGCCTTTAACTACACACAATGAATTAACTATGAAACCATTTCCAAACTGAAATGCCACTTCCAAATCAGGTCAATACTGTACATTTCATTTTGTCCAAATATGAATAACTAAACTCAGTGCTGAAATCATGATCTGAACAAAGCTAGCCTGTTGCCATTACCAAGATCCTGAAAACCGGTTGTTTAAGCACTGTTCTTCTATGCCTATCTATTTGCTAATTCTGAGCCTTTAGGAAATCCTATTTGAAAAAAAATAAATACAGTCCTGCAAGTTCTTTTAAATAGCACTCTGCCTGTAAGGACATGCTTGGAATGCAGAAGGAAATGGCTTACCTTTCTTAATTACAGTTTGATCTGGGATGTTAATACCCGGGTCTTCTACATGCTGCAACAAAAGGATACACATGAATGTAAGTGTATAATCAAAACAAAAGGAAATGAATATTCCCTGCAAGGTGGGGGAGGGGAGGATGGCAGTCCCCCTTCATAATGACATTTATATATAAACATCTCATCTTAGCTTACTGAATTTGGAGCTTTAAAACTCAAGAGGTTTCACTGTATACACACAGCCCATTTCTCCTCCCCAACCCTCCCCAGCAGATAATCCACATTGAACAGGATGGGGTGGGAAATAAAACTTTCTTTGAAAATTAAATGAAGTTTTGGAGTTCCTGATCTTTTTCCCCAGTCAATTCAATCTTTAGAAATGCATGTAGCTTTGGTGTGGCACCTCTCAGCAGCTTGGGAACCTCAGGGATCCCAGTGTCCAAGCAGCCAAAGCCAAAGAAACACAATAGAAATGACGGGGGGGGGGGGGGGGGGGAGTAACAACAGAGTGTTGGAAACCCTGCAGGTAACGTAACAAAGCACACACACACACACACACACACACACGCACACACACGCACACACACCTTCACTGAAAGAAAACCAGAAATAATTTTTAAGAAATCTGCTGCCTACAGTAAATCTGGCAGGAATGTGGAAATATCCGGGACAAAAACCATTTGAGGCTTTTTTCCTGTTGTCCAGCAGCAGTGTGGGGTGCCCCCCTTTCTCTCTCTCTCTCTCTGTCTCCCTCTCTCTGTCTCTTTACAGATGATTGTGTATCCATGAGTGTGCTAGAATCAAAACGTGATTGGAAAGTAAAATGAAATCATGTTTTCTAATGCAGAAACTGACAGGCAATATAATGTCTGGCTGTGTTTACAAATTAGCACCAGGGCTGCTGAGAGAGAAGATTTCGCAATCGTTACCAAGCACAGGCATTGCCATTTAAAAAACTATTACTTCCTTCTCTAGTCTTTGTCCAACAATAATACTGATTCGAACATTTTCCATTCTGTCTTGGATTTATGCTCCTGTTAATTGTGCCTGATCGCAATGATTCCGGGTGGATGGTACTAAGTTGCTTTATTACAGGTTTTATTATACTCAATGCTCTCATTTGTAACTTGCCTAAAGTGCTTCTGGATTTAAGTATAATTAAATTGAGAAATGTTCAGAAATGACTACTGCTGCAGTTCTTGTGTTTTAACTATATGGGGAAATATGATCCCTTTATGCATGCACCCTAAACCCATAAAGTAAATGTAGTGTGGCATAATACTTTTATTTCTGTTATTTCTAGCTAGACCTTGTCCATACAGGGAAGACTGTTAAGTTTAAAACCCCACTGAGATATTAATGATTAAATAATTTTCACCATCGACTTGATTTTCTTAAATATTTAGCAGTCGTTCTTATTAAAAGTTAACTGTGGCAGCAATGAGAAAATTGAAAACAACCCTTTTCCTGACCCAAATCCCTTTGAAAGATGTTTTTCCTTGAAAGGTGGGGGAGGGTGAGATGAGAAGAGCAGCGACTGGGTGGGTTTCCTGCTTTTATATGATCATTTGGTTAATTTCTCCCACTAACCAATTTCACCACAAAGAGTGACCACACAGGTGTCAGGAATTCCCACCAGCCCCACAATATTTTCGCAGAAGACCTATTTCCAATACATAGAAGCTCCAAAAGCTTGAGATATTATTTTGCTATGCTATTACTGCTCCTAAAGAACAGGCAAAGAAAAGAATCCAGGGACTCTCTGAGAAAGAAAACTAAAATCACCATAATTTCTAGTTCTGTTCAAAATTACTTTTATAAAATATTCTCTGAAATTCACTAAGCATATTTTTCTAAACCCATATAAATATGAACACACACACACACACACACACACAATGCTTACTGAGCCTTGCATTGGATCAATCGCCTGCTTTTCTGTGTTCCATGCAAGGCGGTTAAGCATAACCAACAAATTTCAGTGATTAACTGGGCTAAATGAGAGAGGTAATAAATTTTCTATTTTCCTGTAGAACTTCAAGAATGTTTTAAATCTGCCAGGCAATCAGGTAAGTTCATGTGGTCGTTTTCCTTACAATCTAATTCAGCAATCATTAAACTGTCAACAGACATACCACTGCTATATTTGATGCAGTAATTTGAAATAGCATTTAAGCAAAAATCACATCCAGATACATTTCCTTTCTAAAGAAGCCTTTCCAGCGTTAAAAAAAAAAAAAAAAAAAAAAAAAAAAAAAAAAAAGGCTTACTCTAATCCATTTCAGGAAGATTGTGAGAAAACCATAAATTTATAGAGCTGAAGTTGAGGTGCTGGTTCAATTTAATTTTAAAAAAGTATTTTCAAATTATCAACAACCTGAGTTACATTGTGAATAGTACATGTGCTGAAGTCGTCCTTATTTAGAAATCATTTAAAACTGCATTTATTGATAACTGAATTAGAACTCATCACAGTGCCCAATAGTATCCAAACATTTAATTGAATATGCAGTGTAGCAGCTTCTGATAGGCGTTGGGAACCTAGCTAATGATTTATGAGGTCACCACTTAGCACCCCCAGGAAGAGAAGAAAGCTGCATTTTAACGTCCCTGTGTTTGGATTTGCTACTTGCTTTCCTTTGATCAGGATAGGGAGGCATAATTTCTGGGTTTCACTAATGCTTATAAAACCCGGTTCAAGGACCTTTTCCCTAAGTCTCTCGCACTTTCTTTTACTTTGTGAGCGCGTTTAAGGAGCTCTCTGAGCTAAATTTAACCTCTTTCCTAGAACAGCGAGAAATCCCCACGACACACTCAGCAGTGGAATTACATGCCCCCCCCCCACACACACTACACAATTAATTGTCACGGAGAGGAGAAGCTACAGAGAAGGGTGACCATCACCTGATTTATTTCTGTGTTGGTTGGAAGTGGTGACCCAGTCATTGATGAGCGAGCTCCATGAAGCATTGTTCACAATTAGTTTTTCATTTTTAAATTCAGTTGTTGGAGCGAGTGTCACTTCCACTCCCAACTATTATTGAGGAAAATCAAAGCCCTGCGGGCCTGGACTCCGTGAAGCTTCCGGGAGGGCAGGTGAGCCTAGGGCTGCATTCCCTCCCCGCGGCCCGCACCGCCTCTTACCGGGACGTCCTCGATGGCGTGAGGTAAGGAGTGGATCGGGAGGTCCCCGAGCCCCGAGCCGAGCCCGTGTGGGCCGTGTAGGAGGTCCTCGTGCCGCCGGTAATCCCTGCGAGGGTCCAGGCCCGACAGCTGGTGGGGTAACCCCCGGTGCGTGTGCAAGAGCCCAGACTCCTGGCTCTGCCTCTGGCCAGGCCAGCCCGGGTGCTGCGGTTGTGGCTGGGCGTGCAGGGGGTTCAGGCTGTAGGGGTCGTTGACGTGGGAGTAAGGATCTTGCGACTGAGGGTAGATAGGCTGGTAGGGCGGGGGGAAGTAGGGAGGCTGGAAGTCGGCATTGGGGGTATGGGACAGCGGCGGGGCGCTGGTGTAGGGAGATTGACCTACAGTGCCCAGCTGGGGCAACCTTGCCGTTCCGTTGCTGGTGCCGTCGTGACGGTCCTGGAAGAAAGCAAGACGGAAGGGAAAGAATAAGAAATGAGGCGCAGAGTTTTAGCTACCCCCACTAAATTCATTCCGCAAGCCAATGTGGGGAAATCACCCGTTCCCCTCTGCTGGACGCCGGGGTGGGGGTATCAAGTCTACATTGCTCACATTAGAAAATACAAAATACCCCAGAAGTGAAGCAGTCCTTTCCAAAAAACGTAAAGAAATCAGAATATGTACATCTAGGAGCACAACAGACTCTCCCAGCTATTCCTCTCAAAGGGGGCCAGGAGCTATATATAAAAGGGTATCCTGTAATACAGCTCAACACCCGCAGTACCAAACCTCCCTTAAGCAAAATTCAAACAGCCACTAAATATTAAACATCAGAAGCAGCCTTTGCTTTTCCCGGACTTGAACCTGTCTGCCACTGCGTTATTGTTTACTCTTCCATTAATCTGGAGGGGAAAAATCATAAACCTTCAAAGACTATTACCATTTCATGACTATTTAAATAGAAACATGTTTCGCACAGGGGCCGTAAGAAAGCACACGTTTAAATTACCAGCTTAAAGGTTTTAACTGCATGGTTGAGGTGGGGGTGTCTGTCTTTTCCGCTTCCTCTGTTAGGAGGCTTTTTACACGGCAGGGTCGTTTTATGATATGAATGGGGAGTAAGGGACAGGGTTTAAAATAGAAAGATTCTGCCTTACCCGGTTCTTTTAAAAGAAAGAGGGGCACCCCGGGGCGGGGTCCCCCGCCCCTTCCACCTCCAGCCCCAAAGGGCAAAAGAAACCCCTCACTTTACATTTCTCTATTGCAATCGGCTTGCAAAGCAAGTCAAGGGTGGGTCCCAGAGAATCGGAACCCTCCAAGGTTCAGCCTCAAGGCCCCGGGCTAGGGGACACAACGGGGTGCTCCTTTCACCCCCCACAGACCGATTAAGCATCAGACGTGGAGAGCGGCTCTGGAACAAGTTAAGTGAAGAAGACGCAAGGAAATAAAGACGAACCGGGCGAGAAACTGGCCCAGGGGAAGAGCTGCGGGGTAGGTCTGCGTGCGCGAAGAGGTCCAGCAGGGACAGGGTAGTGGCGACGCGTTGGATTTGAGGATGGAAAAGAGCCAGAGAAAAGAGGAAAGGGGATAGGAATGCAAGTGGAAGGAGATGTCCTCAAGGAACCCGGGCCGAGAAGCCCTGGACCTCGGGCAGTTTCTCGGCTGCGGGTTTCGGGATCAGAATTCCTAAGGAAACAGGGATGGGTGGGGGTGGGGTGGGACTCACCATAGCTGAAAAACTGTGAACTAACATCTGCGAAGAGTCTGGGGTAACCAGTCAGGGTGGAAAAAAACAAAAACAAACCCAAAAAACAAAAACCACCACGCCACGAGCACCCGGCTGCCCTGCGGCCCGAGAGAGCCCCACACAAAAGGCTCCGAGAGCCCCGCGCCACCCAGGACTCCAGTCACCGCGCGGACGCTCCAGCGAGCGTCGGAGCCCGGCTCGGATCCATCCGAACTTGTACCACCGAGTCGCGCGGAGCCTTCAGTTGGTCGAACCCACGATCTCTATCCTGCCGCGATCGGTTAGGATTCAAAGTTCTTTAAGAAAAACAAAAACAAAAAAGCCAACCAAACTAAAAAAAAAAAAAAAATACCAAAAAAAAAAAAAAAAAAAAAGAGGAAAAAAGTATGTGTGTGAAGTGTGTGTATGAGTGTGTGTGTGAATGTTCCTTAATCCGTGTCTCCCCTCTTTTCTTAGCGGCGGCTTCACTTCAGCTTCTAATAACCGCGCTGGGCAGCGTTCCTGGAGCCTCCTAATAGCAGATATTCATGACTATTAATATTACACGAATACTTAATAAGGGAAGAATGCCTGGAAATCGAGCGTGAAGCGGAGAGGCAACTCGCGCCGGAGCCGGCTCTCAATGCAGTCATTGACGGGAGTCTCAGTGTAGCAAATCGGAGGTGGGGAGAGGGAGCGCGAGAGACAAAAAGCGGGCGACGGAGGGAGCGGGCGAGCGTGCGGGGGGCCGCGGCGCGGCGTCTGGCGAATCACAGCGAAGGGGCAACATTTTAAAAGGTTGCAGGGCCTGCAAAAGTGAAAGAGAAAGAAGGCGAGAGAGGGAGGCCGAGGGGCGAGAGCGCGAAGAGGGAGGATGTGTCTGCGTGCGTGTGCGAGAAAGAAAGTGTGGGCGACCAGAGGAGAGAGGAGTGGGGGGGGGGGAGGAAGGAGGGAGCGCCGGGGAGGAGGAAGGGAGGGCGGGAGGGAGGGAGGAGGAGGAGGGGGCCGAGCCGGAGCTGCGCAGGGGGAGCCCGCGGGGGAGGGGGAGGGAGAGGGGGGGGAGAGGAAGCGAAGGAGGACAATCGGACCTAAAAGGCTGGGGCAGACCTCGGAATGGAGCGGGGGTCGCGCGCCGCGGGCTGGAGCTCCCGGGCCCCGCGCGCGGCTGCCCACCGGGTTCTGCGCCTGGGAGGTGCTTCCCGCCGCTCTCCGGCCGCGGGATTCTCTGCTGCGCGGCGGGGCCTGGCACTCGGGACTCGGCTGCCCGCTGCCGCGCTGCTCCTCCATGACCAGGCGTCCCGCCTGGGACCAGCCCGCCCGCTTCGCCAGCCCTTGTCCTCCGCCTGCTCACGAGCTGCCCTCCCTAGGACCTCCGGGCGGTGCGCTCGCTCCTCGGCTGCGGCTGTTCTATTCTCGGCTGGTCCCTGGACCGGGTTCCGGGAGCAGGAGCCCGGACGCGGCCCCGGGCGCGCACAGACGCGAAGCGGCCCAGCCTAGGCGCCTCTGGCAAGGGCTCCCGGCTCCCGGCACAAACCCGTCGGACTGGCTGGGCCACTCCCGCCGACACCCCCTAGATGACAGGGCTAGCTCTCCCCGCGCGTCGCCACTGCCAGTCTGCCTGCCCGGTTGTCGGAACAAGAGGCACCTCGCCTCTTGCGTGTCCCTACAAAGCCTTGGCCAAATCAGACAACTCCAAGCCCGCTCGGAAACTCGAAATCCCTGCCCCAGCGCTGGCTAGCTCGCCGCCAAAGTTGTTGAAATTACCCAGACTCTTCTTTTCCTCCTCTCCCACTCCATTCTCAACATTCTCCCCCCCCCCACCGCTCCCTCCGCTCTCACGCACCTCCAGAGCCTCTCTGGGGGGTTCAAGTTTATCTCGCGCCCGACCCCTCGAGATCCCTTCGGTGGAGTCACGCCAAGGTTATCAACCCTCCCACTCAGGGTGCCGGCACCCAGAAACGAGCTTTAGGTTCTGAGAAAGAGAAAAATCACCAGGCTGGGGGGGGGACAGACCCCTCGGAAAGGAAGGGCTCTAAGAGGGGTTCAGGGGTGCGTAGGCCTATCGGCGAAAGGCCCCCTTAGCCTCGAAAACAAAGTGTCGGGTCCTACGTGGACTTCCCGCGCCCTTCCTGGCGCTCCACAGGAGCTCCCAGAGAAGGGCAGGTACTGAGGAGATGCCACCTGGTGTCCCATCTACCAGATTGGGGGTGGGGAGGGGCAAAGGGGGAGTCGGAAGGAAGAAATAGTATTCAAAGGGAGAAGGGGAGGGAGGGAGTGACACTTCCTCCCTCCACACAAACCCAGTTTCTGATTTCAAGTGAAGACAGAAAGAATCCTTGCCTCTGCACCTCGCACAGCTTCTGCCGGAATCCCCAGCTCCAAATACCAAAAGGGAAAGAAAAAAAAAAGGGGGGGGGAGAGAAGAAAGAAAGAGAAGAACAGCAAATGTCAAGGCTGCTAAATATTTATTTGGATAATCAGGAGCCTCCGACCCCTCCATCGCCCCACGCACTCATCAGCTCCTTTCAACTGGGTTTGGAAAGGCAAGGTTGAGGCCGTCTCCCGCAAGCAGTTGGTTCCTTTTCCATGCCTCCCTGGCTGTCCCAAAAGTCATTCTCTGGGGCCCTGGGTTTTAAAATGTGTTCCCAAAGAGAGAGAGCGCTCTGTGGTCCCAGCGGACCCTCGAAAAACTGGGGGTGATCGGCAGTCACGCCAGGATCCTCAGGGTCCCGCGGCTAGGCTCCGGCAGGCACAGGGCGATCCCCCTCCCTCCCCGACTCAGAGCACGGCAGCGTGTCTGCACCCAGCCACCACCATGGGTGTGTCCATCCCGGAGCTCGGCGGGACAAACTGCTTAGAACTTCAAGGAATATAGGAGCTAAGGAGTGAGCCCGGAGGCTGACGTGAGGGCTCCCAAGCCTAACCCGCTTTCAAGGAGGGTCGGCCCAGGTCTGGGCGAAGTGTGTGGGCCCTTCTCCAAATGCAAGAAGGGGACCTCTTTAGAAAGAAAGGAATGAATGAAAGAAAAAGGAATATTTATCTCAGAAAGAAGGCAAAAGGGGGAACATTTTCTTTTTTTCTTCCTGCTATTGTAGATACCCCCAGGTTCTTGCTCAAGAGACACCAGAGTGCACTGGCACGTGCCCAGTTGCCAACAATTGTTTTTTTTTTTTTTAAAAAAAATGCTTATCTCTTCGCTCCACTCTCAGGCAAAGCCACAAGTATGCAGGAAAAAAAGGGGGAAGGGAGTGGGACATGGGCTTCAAAGGACAAAAGTGAAGCAAGCAAGATCCATGTCCACCCTCTCCGGCTTCTCCCGGGTGCTCTTCGGGCGAACTGGAGGGGCGGGCGCAGCGCTGGTGAAAGTTTGTTCCAGCAGCAATTCGCAGCTAGCTGCGTGGAGAGGAGGAGGAGAGGGAGGGTCGATCTCCAAGCCTGCGGTCGCAAGGATGACTGAGCCGGCGCCGCGCTTACCTCACAGTCTTCGTACTTGATATTATCCGTCAGTTTCCAAAGCATTTTCATGGATCGGCGTGATCGGATTTGCCCCTCTGCGCCTCGCACCCCAGCGGAGCTACTCTCTAGGTTAGCGCAAAGTGCGGGCTGCGGGCGGTGAGCACAAGAGGAGGAGGAGAGGAGGGCGAGGAGGAGGAGAAGGGTAGGAGGGAGGAGGAGGGAGAGGAGGAGGAGGGCCAGGAGGAGAAGGGCGAGGAGGGAGGAGGAGAGAAGGGTTAGAGAGCTCCCGTGTGCGCTCGGAGATCTCCCTCTAATGGTAGAAACTTTTCCCTTTTCCTGCTCTTCACCAACAGCCTAATCGCCTCATTAGCATATCAACAATAGTCCAATTGCTCGCCAGTACTGCAATCCGCCGCCGGCCGCTCCGACCCAGGTATAAAGGCCTCTTCAAGCCGCGAACTTGCTCCCAGAGCACACGCCTGCACGCCTGCCTGCTAGCCCCACAGTTTTCCCCGAGCTCCTCTACCCTCCCTTGCTCCAGCGGTCCCTACCCCGGCCCAATTTCATCCTTTTCCCCTTCGCCTGTCTACGGATCCTGCCAGCCAAAGATGCCTTGGATAAACCTCGGTACAGGGTACTGGCGGCGGCGCCAGGGGACCAACTTTTAGTACACCCCACCCCTGCTACTACAGCCGCCACTATCCGATCTGCCTTCGTCCCCATCCGATTTTATTAGAAATCATTATCCCTTTCGCAATGAATCGTAACCATCAAACCAGGACCAGCAAAGTCACTCCAGGATTTTTGCCCAACTGGAGATCGCCTCCGCTCAGGGCTGTTACCCCCTCGGGCTGCAGCGCCCAGGGAGTTTTATTAGCTTTGCTCTTTTCCCCCTAGGTTGGAGATTCTCCCAACCGGCTCTGGTGGCTCGGTTGGGGTTTGCGATCTCTTAATTGCTACGTGTAAAATAAAAGTTGTACCCTGAAGAGGTTACTCGACAGCTCCGGGGGTTAAATGATTTTCCTCCAGTTTGTGTGAAGCTGGAGCGGACTGACAGTTCGTCGGGGTGTTTGGGTTATAAGGTTTCCCAGGTGCAATGTGGACAAGAACACGGAATTCGGATGGAGATGCTTAGCCGCTACTGGAGTTAACCGAAAAGCAGACCCATGAGCGCCTGAGACTCGCTCCATGCCATGTCATACGTGCATCACAATAAATCATTGGGAACCGACTCTGCCTGTGCTAATCGGCTCTGGTTTTCCCAAGATTCTCCTTTTTAATTAAAGAAGGACACGATCCTTCATGATTTGATGTTAGCAACGCCGGCACGTTGGCGGCGCAATGGCCAGCTGGTGAAGAACCCGAAGGAAACACCCCCTTTGCCCAAGCTGACCACTCCAGGACTCTCCAGCTCCACTCAAGGGCTTACTCACTTCACCAGGGGACCCTTCCTCCCTTTCACCAATTATTTTAAAGTAAGAAAAAAAATTCAAAGACTTTAATTTGATAGTTTGATATACAGGGACTTCTCTGGCTGACTTTCTCCACTAACACTCTAAAAATATTTTCGTCTGTCTTTCTCCTGTTAGTCTGTTAGTTATGGGGAACTTCTCAGCAGCCTCCGAGGCCTCTGGTTCATCTGGTTTTTTTTTTTTTTTGTTTTTGTTTTTGTTTTTGTTTTTGGTTTTGTGTGTGTGTGTTTCTTTTTTCTTTGTCTCTCCCCTCCCCCCCAAAAAAATCTCTACCCCTTCCCCCATTTGCAGAGTGAATCCATCGTGGGAGTGAAGACTTCCTTCATCAAATCCAAGCGTTCAGTAACAGGTGGAAAAAAAGCGAGAGAAGGAAAAGCCCCACTCTCCACTCAAAGCCCAAGAGGGGCCAATCT